GTTTTTTCAGATTACTGTACACTCTAGCTCTCAACCCTGTTTTTATTCATCAACTGTGGATTCATATTTTGAATAAGACAATTACTACAGGGACTGGGTAAGTCGTCCTATATTTTAAACCACATGTACTTGAAATTCTACTATAGTCACACAGGAATGCTAGTGTGTCTTGCAAGTTGCGTAAATCATGCAGACGACTCGCAAATAATTATTTCGCGACACAGATTATCTGCAGTAACAGTATGTATGAAAAAAAGCAAACTGCAAATTTATCGGAGAAGACTGAGCCTTGGTCAATTTTCCTCTCTGAACGCATTTGACCAATTAGGGCTGAATTTCGCTATTTATGGAAGCGTGCGACTGGTAACGAATTTTAGCATCAAAACGAGGTTTGGTTTCCAGATAGCGACGCGCGTCAAAACAGAATACAAAAGCGCGGGAATTTTCACACACTCGGAAGAACAGAGCTAGAGTTTCGCGATAGGCACAGTTGGATTTCATCACTAGAATTCCCTAGCACTGCAGGTTTTGACTTTAGGAATCTCATTTGGTTTTTATACATTGCAGGAAAGAAATCCCCATCTTGCAACTTATTCATCAAGGACAAAACCTAACTACAACTGAGGCCAGTCATATTGTACCCATGTTGTCACTGTTTTGTGCGTTGTTCAGTCATTCTCTGTTTTCTGTTGGTGACAAGGAGTTCTTTGGGGAACAAAAAGGTATGAATCAGATCGTCATAGGTGGGCGGGCGCCAATGTTTACGTTTTAGCTAATTTGCATAAATTTGGAGCGACAAGAAAATCGAGCCCATAAATGAAAAGAGCTCATACTTGTCAGCAATTCCTGAAAATTTGAAGACAATTGGTTAGATATTTCAAGAGATATCAAGCGCCGAATTTGCAAGATTTTCTAATGAAATGACCGTGGTTGGCATTATGTTTTCTGCATGTATAGATTTTGTAGTTTTGAAATACCGATATCTCGAAATGTGAAAAGGTGTTTGCTCTAAAATTGTTTTAAGATTAATATTATCTTGAATT